ACTGAGAACCTGCCCACCCCAGATACACCCCAAGAGCCTGTACCCCCTCACAGACACCCAGAGGGCCTGCACCCCCCCCCCCCCCCCCCCCCCCCCCAGAGCATGCCCTCCTGTTACACCCAGGGGCGGACTGACCATTTGGAAACTCGGGCACTGCCCGAGGGCCCGGGGTCAGTAGGGGGCCCCATGAGATGCCCCTGGTACCTTTTTTTATAGGCTTTTTTGAGTTTGAGTCCTCCCCTGGTTACACCCCACGAGCCTGCACCCCCCCAGAGACCCAGAGAGCTTGCGCCCTCCCACCCCAAAATGCCCTGAGAGCTTGTACCCCCCCTACAGACACCCCAAGAACCTGCATTACCTTACAGATACCCTGAGATCTTACACCGCCCACAGAGACACCCTGAGAACCTGCAACTCCCCACCAGAGAAACTCAGGGAGCCTGCACCCCTCCCCCATCCCCCACTGACACCCAGAGAGCCTGCTCCCCCCCCATCCCCCACCAACACCTAGAGAGCCCACATCCCCCTCCCCACAGATAACCCGAGAGCCTACACCCCCCTTCCCCACAGACACCCCAACAGCCTGCACCCTTCCAGAGATATCCCAAGAGCTTGCACCACCACCCCCCTCCAGAGACACCTCAAGAGATGCACCCCTTTCCAGAGATACTCTTGACCCTGGACCAGGGGCAGAGTGAAAACTCATGGGGCCCCTGGACAATAGGGGAGCATGGGGCCCCTGTGTCCTTGCCCAAACTCAAAAAAGCCTATCAAAAAGGTACCAGATGCATCTCATGGGGCCCCCTACTGACCCCGGGACCTCGGGCCTGAGTTTCCAAATGGTCAGTCCGCCACCCTGCCTTGCACCCATTATTGACACCTGTAGAGCCTGCATACAACCAAGGGACGAACTAGAGCCCCCCTCCCCCAGCTATGATATATATACTGTAAAGCACAGCCTGAAAATATGGAAGTAGAGCAGATGTGGGGCCCTCAGTGACCAATCAGATCGCCTGCTTCCCTGGAGAAGTCTGGTTGCTATGGGCAACTCCTCCCCAAAGCAGCAGCGGATCCGGCTCTGCTCCTACCTGGACATCCAGAGATACCCTCCATCCAGAACTGAACGTGGAGAGGAATCCTCTTCCTGATGTCAATGGATTCCAGGCAGAGGATTTGCTCCTGTCTGAGTCGTGGATGTCATCCCAATCCATCAATTCGCAGACCATCTTCAAAATATTAATGTCTTTTCTATACTTATTCTCAATCTTAATAGATCTGCAGTTTTCATGATACTATTCCCTGTTCTGGTGATCCTGCCATGAAGGTCACTTCCTGTTATAGGGTGACACCTCTCTGTCCCTGTCTCCCAATTGTCCTCCTGCATTGTCACCTTGTCACATGTGTGACAACACACATTACACAGACATGGTCCACTATCGTCAGCAGGAAACCCATACTGAGAAATTCCCTGCAGCCATCAGTGGAGTTCTTGTAGACAGGAAGTGGCTGCAAAAAGGCTGCATGAGATCAGCAGCACTGAGATGAAACAAAGGATTTTATTGTAAACAGGACAATATTGATGAGACACAAACATCCAATCAGGTCTACATCTAATGACAAATCTTCGTACAATGTTCCTGATCTGAAGCCGATTAGGTGGAAACAACAGAAAAAGACAGCGGAGTATGTGGCTGGCGTGTCACCGCAGATTAGTGGTGACACCGCACTGTGCTGATTGATGTATGGGAGGGGGCTGTGTCACGGGGGGGGGTGATTAATCTTCTCTTCTATTATCATGAATCCGCTGGATGGAAACGGTGCATGTAGGTCACACAGACTTTGTGTATTAAGATATGCCTTGAGTGCTGCAGTTTGTAGTCTCCCTCCTCTGGCTGCGGCACACGCCTTTTCTGTACGGAGGCAGGAATGGGGTGAGGGGGTAACACAAAGGGAAATCTTACACTGAGCACACATGGAGCAATTCCTCATCTGTCTGTCAGTGTCGTCTGCCAGGTTTCTATTTGGCTCCATTTAAACTAGCGCCAATTTTCAGCTTTCAGCGCTGTCACACTTTGAAGGACAATTGCGCAGTCATGCAACACTGTACCCATATGACATTTTTAGCATTTTTTCAGACCAATAGAGCTTTCTTTTTGTGGTATTTAATCACCACTGGGGTTTTATTTTTTGCCAAATAAATGAAAAAAGATAGAAAATTAAAAAAAAAGTTTTTCTTAGTTTCTATTATTATAACATTTTGCAAAAAAATAAGTTTTCTTCTTCACTGATGTGCTCTGATAAGGCTGACAAGACAGCACTGATGGGTACTGATGAGGCAGCACTGATGGGCACTGATGAGATGGCACTGACGAAGCAGCACTGATGGGTACTGATGAGACTGCATGCATGGGCACTATGAGGCGGCACTGATGAGGCAGCACTGACGAGACAGCACTTGTGGGCACTGATGAGACAGCACTGATGGGCACTAATAAGCTGCACTGATGGGTAAAGATGAAGAGGCACTGATAAGGCAGCACTGGTGGGCACTAATGAGGCAGCACTGACAAGACAGCACTGATGGGCACTAATAAGCTGCACTGATGGGTAAAGATGAAGAGGCGCTGATAAGGCAGCACTGATGGGCACTGACGAGGCAGCACTGACAAGACAGCACTGATGGGTACTGATGAGGCAGCACTGATGGGCACTGATGAGACGGCACTGACGAGGCAGCACTGATGAGTACTGATGAGGCTGCATGCATGGGCACTGATGAGGCGGCACTGATGAGGCAGCACTGACGAGACAGCACTTGTGGGCACTGATGAGACAGCACTGATGGGCACTAATAAGCTGCACTGATGGGTAAAGATGAAGAGGTGCTGATAAGGCAGCACTGATGGGCACTGACGAGGCACACTGATGGGTACTGATGAGGCAGCACTGATGGGCACTGATGAGACGGCACTGACGAGGCAGCACTGATGAGTACTAATAAGCTGCACTGATGGGTAAAGATGAAGAGGCACTGATAAGGCAGCACTGGTGGGCACTAATGAGGCAGCACTGACAAGACAGCACTGATGGGCACTAATAAGCTGCACTGATGGGTAAAGATGAAGAGGCGCTGATAAGGCAGCACTGATGGGCACTGACGAAGGCAGCACTGACAAGAAGCACTGATGGGCACTAATAAGCTGCACTGATGGGTAAAGATGAAGAGGCGCTGATAAGGCAGCACTGATGGGCACTGACGAGGCAGCACTGGCACTGATGGGTACTGATGAGGCAGCACTGATGGGCACTGATGAGACGGCACTGACAGGCACTGATGAAGTACTGATGAGGCTGCATGCATGGGCACTGATGAGGCGGCACTGATGAGGCAGCACTGACGAGACAGCACTTGTGGGCACTGATGAGGCTGCACTAATGGGCACTGATGAGACAGCACTGATGGGCACTAATAAGCTGCACTGATGGGTAAAGATGAAGAGGCACTGATAAGGCAGCACTGGTGGCACTAATGAGGCAGCACTGACAAGACAGCACTGATGGGTACTGATGAGGCAGCACTGATGAGACGGCACTGACGAGGGCAGCACTGATGGGTACTGATGAGGCTGCACTTATGGGCACTGATGAGACTGCACTGATGAGGCAGCACTGATGAGACAGCACTTGTGGGCACTGATGAGGCTGCACTAATGGGCACTGATGAGACAGCACTGATGGGCACTAATAAGCTGCACAGATGGGTAAAGATGAAGAGGCACTGATAAGGCAGCACTGATGGGCACTGACGAGGCAGCACTGATGGGTACTGATGAGGCAGCACTGATGGGTACTGATGAGACGGCACTGACGAGGCAGCACCGATGAGACAGCACTGATGGGTTCTGATGTGGTTTCACTGATGGGCACTGATGAGGCTGCACTGATGAGGCAGCACTGACGAGACAGCACTCGTGGGCACTGATGATGCAGCACTGATGGGTAAAGATGAGGAGGCACTGATGGGCACTAATAAGCTGCACTGATTGGCACTGATGGGGCTGCACTGATCATTAGGGCACTGATTATCAGTGTCAATGTGTCCTGTCAGGATTGCCGGTTATCGGCTCTCCTTTCCTCACACAGTGACAGCACGTGAGGAAAGGAAATGCCTATAACCAGCAAGTTTGTTTACATGGTATCAGCTGTGATTGGACACAGCTGATCACATGGTAAAGGGCTGCTGTGATTGGCCATTTACCTCGATCTGTGATCAGCTGTGTCCAAAGAACAATTAATCACAGAGCGTGCCCGATGTACGCCCCAGGGACAGGGTTCAATGAGAATGTCTATAGACGCCCTTCCAGAACTAGACGGCCATGCTGCTATGCTATGGTGCGGTCGGGATGTGGTTTTTAACATAACGTATGAAAATTGTGAATAAACTCAAACGCTCACTATGGTGAATACAAAACATAATTATAATTAGAGTACTGTAGCCGCTAGTGTACACAACCCATGTCTCAGTGGGCTAAATAATGCATAATATCAATGAAAAAAATGCTGCGCTACATATACAAAAATGCACAATACCTATAAAATATATAGACGTAGAACAGTGATATCAAAAAACAGAGATTATGTGACTTGAAAGAAAAATATTCCAAAAAAAAAAAAAAAAATTAACTAAAGTTCAATCAATGAAGTGTTCTCCTGTGACCCCTTTGCACTGGAATTCTGTGACAGATGCACACGGTGGTCATTATCTCAAGGAGGGTCACAGGAGAACACTTAATTCATTGGACTTTAATTCGTTTTTTTTTTGGAATATTTTTCCTTGAAGTCACGTAATCTCTGTTTTTTTTATATCGCTGTTCTACGTCTGTATATTTTATAGGTATTGTGCATTTTTGTATATGTAGCGCAGCATTTTTTTTCATTGACATAACGCAGGGCTTAAAATTTCAAGTCCTGAGCTACTAGCCAGGCCTTAAGAGTTACGTGCCACCAACAAACACACACACACACACAGAAACATGTGCACACATGCACAGAGACACATGTACACACACATACATACACACACAGGCACAAACAGACATGCATACACACAGATACATTTACATACACACAGACACATGTACATACATACACACATACACACAGGCACGTACAGACATGCATACACACAGATACATGTACATACACAGAAATACACATGTACATACACACAGACACATGTACATACATACACAGACACATTTACATACATACATAGACACATGTACAAACAGACACATGTATGTACACACTCATGTACATACACACAGACACATATACACACACACACACACATACATGTACATACACGCAAACACATGTACAGATACACACATGTACATGCATACACAGACACACATAAACACACACACATGTACATACACACATGTACACGCAGACACATGTACAGATACATACTTGTACATACACACAGACACATGTACATGCATACACAGACACACACAAACACACACACATGTACATACACACAGACACATGTACTCACAGACACATGTACACACACACACATACATGTACATACACGCAGACACATGTACAGATACACACATGTACATACACACAGACACATGTACATACATACACAGACACACACAAACACACACACACACACCCTATAAAAAGTTGCAGTACTTCGACACATGGACACATGTACACACAGACACAGACATGTACACACAGACACATGTATGTACATACACACAAACACACATGTACATGCACACAGACACACACACACACCTATAAAAAGTTGCAGTACTTCGTTGCTCACTCACAGAGCCGGGTACTGCACTCTAGGGGGAGGCAGAGAGCACAGCACACACTCCTTCCTTTGCTTTCACTGCGCTCAGCTATTGAGCAGTCGGCTCCCAGTGCCAATGACAGATCTGGCCTGAGCTCTGAGCCTGCTCAGCAAGACGGCCCTGGGGAACACACCTGCCCCCACCATAATTTCCACTCGCCATTGGCGAGCAGGCGAGTGGAAATTTCAAGCCTTGACATAACGTATGAATCCGAATGTTCCGAAATAACGTCCGAAAATACAAATTGATTTGGAACAAAGAAAATATGAAACAAATTCAGAAAACAAACCATTTTAACATAACTAATATGAGGAAATAAAATGATTGACTAAACGAATGAATCCAAAATGAAACAAAATGTACAAGTGCAAGAATGCAGCCAGAGAGAAGGAGACATGATTGCTTTTACAGCCTTTATGGGCGTAAAAACAATCAGTGTAAAAAAAAAAAAAAAAAAAAATCTTCCTCACCCCCCACAAGAAGTACAGTGTCGCTATGGTGACACTATACTGCTAGGGTGACAGAATGTTAAAAAAAAAAAAAAACAACAAATAATATAAAAAAATAAAGTTAAAATGTCAAGAACATTTTTTAAAAATTATAATTTTTGGTTATAAACTAATTTGTTTTGTTTTGTTTTACTAAAGAGATAGCTGAATACATTTTGGCCAAGATTTATGAAGAAAGATTATTTATTTGCAAAATTGTATAAGAAAAACACCTTTTTTTTCAAAATGTTTGGACTTTTTCATTTATATAGCAAACAAATAAAAATCCCAGTGGTGAATAAATACCAACAAAATATCTGTCTCAAAAAAATGCTAAATAATTCATATGGGTACAGTGTTGCATGACCGCGCAATTGTCATTCAAAGTGTGATAGCGCTGAAAGCTGAAAATTGGCCTGGGCAGGAAGTGGGTGAAAGTGCCTGGACCTGAAGTGGTTATTCATCAAAGTTTTTTGGGTGACACGGGTTTAGAGGTGGAGTCACATCTGAAGGTGGAGAGAATGTATCTCACGGGAAGTTCGGAATTGTAGTTTCACCTTCTGTAAACCATCCCATCTCTTCTCATCCATGTACCCGCAATATTTAAAATAGGTGCAAACCTGAACTGGATCACATTTAGTCATCTCTGTGCATTTCAGTGGTGCTGATCTCCTGGAGTCTCTTTGCAGCCAGTTCTTTTCTGCCTGCACTCCAGCAATGACTGGCTTTCTCAGTGCAGGTTTCCTGATGATGACAGCAGTAGACCATGACTGGGTAATGAGCTTGTAGTCTCCATCAGAAGCCCGTGTGACAGGATGACCATGCAGGAGCACAACCAGGGCAAAGGGACAGAATGGTGTCACAGTGAACACAGACAGGATGAGGTTCAGCAGTGTAGTACACGAATACAGATTGCAACAGGTGGTGTTTAGGAGCATCACATACAAGTCAAGGTCAGGGTAGGTTGAGTCATACACAAGTACAGGTCAGGGGTTTGGGGTTCAGGTTGAGTTGTACACACACAGAGGTCAGGGAAGGTGGCTCTCAGGTTGATTCTTCCACAAGTAAAAAGGTCAGGGTAGGTGGTGTTCAGTCATATGCAAGCTGAGGTAAGGGCAAGTTGAGTTCGGGTTGAGTAGGACACAAGTAGAGGTCAGAAGGTGGTGTTCAGGTCGAGAAGTACACAAGTACAGGTCAGGTTGTGTTCAGGTTGAGTAGTGCACAGGTCAGGACAGATTGTGTTCAGGTTAAGTGGTACACAAGTAGAAGTCAGGGCAGGTAGTGTGCAGGTTGAGTTGTACACAAGTACAGGTAAGGGAGGATGGTGTTCAGGTTGAGCAGTATTCAAATACAGGTCAAGGCAGGTTGTGTTCAGGTTGAGTCATGTGCAAGTAGAGGTAAGGGCAGGTTATGTTCAGGTTGAGTAGTAGTACAAAAGTAGAGGTCAGGGAATGTGGCTTTCAGGTTTAGTAGGACACAAGTAAAGGTCAGGGCAGGCAGTGTTCAGGTTGAGTAGTACAAAGGTAGAGGTCAGGGAATGTGGTTTTCAGCTTAAGTAGGAAACAAGTAGAGGTCAGGGCAGGTAGTATTCAGGTTGAGGAGTACACAAGTACAGGTAAGGGCAGGTTGAGTTTAGGTTGAGTAGTATACAAGTAGAGGTCAAGGCAGGTGGTGTTCAGGTTGAGGAGTTCACAAGTACAGGTCAAGGCAGGTGGTGTTCAGGTGGAGGAGTACACAAGTACAGGTCAAGGCAGGTGGTGTTCAGGTTGAGGAGTTCACAAGTACAGGTCAAGGCAGGTGGTTTTCAGGTGGAGGAGTACACAAGTACAGGTCAAGGCAGGTGGTGTTCAGGTGGAGGAGTACACAAGTACAGGTCAAGGCAGGTGGTGTTCAGGTTGAGAAGTACACAAGTACAGGTCAAGGCAGGTGGTGTTCAGGTTGAGGAGTACACAAGTACAGGTCAAGGCAGGTTGAGTTTAGGTTGAGTAGTATACAAGTAGATGTTAGGGCTGGTGGTGTTCAGGTTGAGAAGTACACAAGTACAGGTCAGAACAGGTGGCATTCAGGTTAACTATTACACATGTACAGGTCAGGGCAGGTTGAATTTAGGTTCAGTAGTACACAAGAGGTCACTACATGTGGTGTTCAGGTTGGGAAGTACACAAGTACAGATCAAGGCAGGTTGAGTAGTACACAAGTAGAGGTCAGGGTAGGTGGTGTTAAGGTTGAGTCATACACAAGCACAGGTCAGGATAGGTGGTGTTCAGGTTGAGTCATTTACAAGTGCAGATCAGGGTAGTCGGTGTTCAGCTTGAGTTGTACACAAGTAGAGGTCATGGTGGGTGGGGTTCAGGTTGATTTGCACACAAGTACAAGTCTGGACAGGCGGTGTTTAGGTTGCGTCATACACAAGTTAAAAGGTCAGGGCAAGTGGCAATCAAGTTAAGCCATACACAAGCACTAGTCAGGGCAGATGGTGATCAGGGCATGGTCAGGGCAGATGGTGATTAGGGCATGGTGTTCAAGTACAAGTTAGGTCAGGTGGTGTTCAATTTAGGTTGTACATAAGTACAGGTCAGAGAAGGTGGGGTTCAGGTTGAGTCATAGACAAGTAAAAAGGTCAGGCCAGGTGTTGTTCAGGTTGAGTTGTATACAAGTAGAAGTCAGAGTGGGTGGTGTTCTGGTTGAGTAGAACACAAGTACAGGTCTGTGTAGGTGGGGTTCTGGTTGAGTAGAACACAAGTACAGGTCTGTGTAGGTGGGGTTCAGGTTGAGCTGTACACAGGTAGAGGTCAGGGCGGGTGGTGTTCAAATTGAGTTGTATATAAGTAGAGGTCAGGGCAGGTAGTTTTTAATGAATGGTATATTAGTCTTTACTTTCAGGGTGCACTGCAATTTGATTGGTCAGCAGTGCTTCTCTGGCTCCCCCTGCTGTCCATGCTGTGGATGTAGGGCACTCTGTACAGGACTAGTGATGGGGGTCATTCATATTACAGGAAATATCCCAAAATCTGAGCGTCAGGTCAGCTCTAATCCCCCCAACAGATGTAATCTGCTCACTAAGGAAGGATTAATGTTCCTGTACCGCCAACCGCATCAACTGCGGATTTCAGAATTCACGCTCAGCGGTGCCGCCTCTATGTCCCCATACTAAGAGATTATAAATACATAATCAAAATATATATATAGTTCATCTCCCATTCATGTCCTCATTATGTATACCGTATGTGAAATATATATGTGTGTGTGCATAACATTATATATATATATACACACACTATATTGCCAAAATTATGGGGACACCTGCCTTTACACACACATGAACTATAATGGCCCCCCAGTCTTAGTCTGTAGGGTTCAATATTGAGTTGGCCCCGCCCTTTGCAGCTATAACAGCTTCAACTCTTCTGGGAAGGCCGTCCACAAGGTTTAGGAGGGTGTCTATGGGAAGGTTGGACCATTCTTCCAGAAGTGCATTTGTGAGGTCAGGCAATGATGTCAGACAAGAAAGCCCGGCTCGCACACCGTTGTGCTAATCTGAAGGCCATGCAAAGTTTGGAGGTCTTTAGCTATTGACTCTGCAGACGGCTGGTGACTTCTGCACAGTGTGCGCTTCAGCATGACCCCGCTCTATCATTTATGTGGCCTTCCACTTCGTGGCTGAGTTGCTGTTGTACCCAGTTGCTTCCACTTTTGTTCAATAATCCCACTAACAGTTGAGCGTGGAATATTTAGTAGCTAGGAAATGTCACGGATGGACTTATTGCACAGGTGGCAACCTATCACGGGACCACGCTTGAATTCACTGAGCTCCTGAGAGCGACCCATTCTTTCACAAATGTTTGTAGAAGCAGTCTGCAAACTTAGGTGCTAGATTTTATACACCAGTGGCCATGGAGGGGATTGGAACACCTGAATCCAATGATTTGGAGGACTGGCCCAATACATTTGGCAATATAGTGTGTGTATATACTGCTCAAAAAAATGAAAGGAACACTTTGAAAACACATCAGATCTCAATGGGGAAAAATATCATGCTGGATATCTATACTGATATGGACTGAGTAATGTGTTAGGAACGTTTGATGGAAATGAAAATTAATAACCTATAGAGGACTAGTCAATTTTGCTGAAATTTAATTGCAGCAACTCAAAATGGTACTCAGTAGTTTGTATGGCCCCCCACATGTTTGTATGCATGCCTGACAACGTCGGGGCATTCTCCTAATGAGATGACAGATGGTGTCCTGGGGTATTTCCTCCCAGATCTGGACCAGGGCATCCCTGAGCTCCTGGACAGTCTGAGGTGCAACCTGGCTGTGTCAGATGGACCAAAACATGATACCCCAGAGGTGTTCTATTTGATTTAGGTCAGGCGAGCGTGGGGGCCATTCAATGGTATCAATTCCTTCATCCTTCAGGAACTACCTGCATACTCTCACCACATGAGGCCAGGCATTGTCATGCACCAGGAGGAACCCAGGACTCACTGCACCAGCGTAGGGTCTGTCAATGGGTCCAAGGATTTCATCCCGATACCTAATGGCAGTTAGGGTGCCATTGTCTAGCCCAGAGGTCTGCAAACTATGGCCCTCCAGCTGTTGAAGTGCTACAAGTCCCATGATGCCTCTGGGAGCCTTGCCTGTGGCTGTCAGAGTCTTGCAAAGCCTTAACACTTGGAGGGCCATAGTTTGGAGACCCCT